GTCGGAACCTCAATGTTCATCTCCCTCAGAGCCCCCATCACCTCCTCATTCAAACCCAATTCTTCAAAACTCTCAACCAATTTCTTCTTCTTTTCTGGCTTCTTCATTTTCTCCTCACCACTTCCCACAGCTAGCTTAGTCTTAGAAGCAGATTCATTGAGATGCCTAGTCCTGAGCCGCTCAAGCAAAATAGAGTGCTTCAACGGTTCAATCGCCTGAGTTGTTTCCGTGGATTCTGCGCTGGTCGCGGCGCTGGTAGCGGAGCAAAGAGGCCTAAATCCTGAGAAATTTCTTATGGGTTTCGGTATTTTGAGGAGCGACAGACACTTGGGCGGTGAAACACGAGCACTGATTAACAGATTTGTGGAGACTGAAAGAGAGAGCAGAGTTCTTCCGGTGCCTCCCATGGCGTGCAAACTGAATGCCAGAGATGAGCTATGGCGCGGAAATGGAGGTTTTGGGCTGCCTCAATGCCTCATTTGCTCTCCCATCTTTCAGGCACTGCAAACCAAATCCCCTATGGGATTGAATCCATTTTTTTATTTGTTTAAAAATTAGGTCAAAAATATCCTTGGATCATCGTATATTGTTATATAGTGAATTTTAACGCTTCAAATTTAATTATTATATTGTCAATAAAATTTAAAATTTATCCTTAATTTTTTTTCACAAAATAATTAATTTCAATGACTATAAATTTTTTTTAAGAATTTTAAGTACGAACCAATAGACTTATTTGAAAAAAGAATAGTTATGTTAGATATATCTTTACCTTCAATAATTAGACTACAGTTGGATGATCTTTGTAGTCATTTTGTTTTAACTGATATGATCTTTGTAGTCATTTTGTTTTAACTGATATCATCACGAGGATGGATACGAGGTTAAATTGAAAGTTGAAGAGTAGGTTTATGCGGGTACAACTAATAATTACAAACTCTAGTCTGGGTCAACTAAGTAACTGGCTCTACTATCGGTATGGTTAGAAGATTTGTTTTATGTATGATGACACGTGCCCAATGGCCTTACTCGTGTCATATGTTTAATAGGTTTGTTATGTTTCAATGATATGATATGGTTTGTGATATGATGTTTAACATTAGAATATGAATGGATGTCATATTATGCCTTGATGAATTATGATGTGCTATGAAATGTCATGACATTATGTAATATGATTACTTTAGGCCATGGTATGAATGACTGGCATGATTTGTTTACCATGAAAAATGTTGGGACTTCGTGCATAAATATTCATGTGCATCGAGATATTTTTTCTTGTGGTGAGTACGGACGTGTACGTTATGAAAAGGAACATGACTATCATGTTTAATGTAACAACCCTAAATTTCCATATACTCAGAATCGTTACTAACGTCTCATGCTCATTTATAATGCGGAAATATAACTCTTACGTGAACGTCATTTATAACGTAAGCTTCAAAAAATGCTTAAAACAAATTCTTCTCTGGAAAACACAGTCATGTTCTTACGTGTTTAAATGCGAAATACTGAAATTTAAAGAAAATAAATACAAAATAGTTTAAAACAATGAAATGCAAAACAACCTATTCTAACTCAACTAGGAATTTAAATATGAATCTATCCTATGCACGTGTCACAGTCTCTGCTCGCGATGCCACCGCCATCCGTACAAGTGCGTCTTGCCTTTATCTGAAAAAAAATGATGTGGCACACGAGTATTTCGAAGAATACTCCGTAAGTGGCTCCACTATAGGGGACCATGCAAATGCAAACACATGCAATCATGATTGGGACCAATCCCTAATCATCTTGGGGGTGGCCTCTAGTCTCAGACAAATTGGATGTGTAGTACTTTCCTACACACGACTCACATGTGCGAGTGTGAATCCCCAGGGCGCTCGCACACCCCCTGGACCCTCTAGTCAAGCTAATCTATAGCGACGTCCGGAAGTCAGCGGAACCCCATAGTGTCATGCGCCTCATGAACACCCTCATCTTTGATGTCCCACATTGGTTGGGGAGGAGAACAAACCACCATTTATAAGGGCATGGAAACCTTCCCCTAGTAGACGCGTTTTAAAGCCTTGAGGGGAAGCCTAAAAGGAAAAGCCCAAAGAGGAGAACCCATCTTTAGAGGCCTCACTTCAAGAACAGTCAGTAAATACGAACCCAAATCCGGGGATAGGAGTTCCCCCATCTGATCTACCGAGAGCAAACCTTGATACTTCGGAAGTACCTAATATGACTGTGATGATGGAACTAATACAATCCATGGCACAGACAAATGGGCAATTGGCACAACTGATCCAGACCTTAGCGCAAAGTGGCAGGCTGTAACGATAAGTGTTTCAAAAAGGCACAAAAAAAAAAAAAGTGGGATTTCCGGTGAGGCATGCCTTGCCAGCAAGGGCGTATTAATGCCTTGAGTCCCCATATTAAACCCTAGGTAAACTTAGTAGCCGACTTTTCCTTTCGAGTCACTATCGTACCTGTGAGGTAGGAGCTGAAAGGTTAGGTGAGGGATCGAAAACGTCGCGAGACTTTGGACTTCTGGGAGCCCGTATGGAGTAGCAAACCGACGCCAGGGTACTTCGAGACAAGCGGGACAGACGCATCGCCAAGGATGACGGTGGTCTCATCGGCAACGGCAGTCGAACTCTGCAATTAGGGTTCATCGAGATCCTCGGGTGAAGAAGACACAAAGTCGGTCGGGTTTCAACTAGGAGTGTACATGGTCCGGGTTGGGTCGGGTTGAGCGATTTTTTTGACCCAACCCAAAAGTTCGGGTTGGTTGGATTGGTAACCCAACCCAACCCGAAACTTTTCACAACCCGACCCGACCCAACCCAACTCTCTATTTTCGGGTTGAGTTCGGGTTGGGTTGTTAATTTTTTTTTTTAAGTTTTATTTATCCACAATTTATAATTATTCGAATACAATCTTATATAAAATATATTAAAAATTTACCAACAAACACAAATCAATCCATAATTATTAAAAAAAAAACAAATTCAATAAACAACAACAAGCGAAAATTGTAACATATTAATTTAGTTCGAGTGAAAATTGTGACATATTAACATAGTTCGACATGTCATAAAACTAAAGAATGCCGGACATTTCTTGAAAATGGATAAAAATAGAAAAAATATAAGGATATATCATGAAATTAAATAAACAATAAAAATGATTAGTTGAAATATGTTTGCTTATAAGTGATTTGATAAGGATAGATAACCCTAAATTATTAGAAAAATAATATATATAAATATAAATTATGATATAATAATGTTACTACAAATAGAAAACAAATACATTTGAATTTAGAATTACTAGTTTATCTTTAAATTTAAACTAAAATTTAGAATTATTTATATATATAATATAATTTATGAACATTGAACTAGCCAGATATAAATTTTTTTAAATATATTTAAATTAAAATTTATCTTGTCTATCTTTAATCCTGATAATATATATAATTTATGAATATATAATAGTTTGTTAGTAAAGTATTTTAAAATATATATATATATAAAAGGAAACAAAAATATATATTTGTATATATATAATTTATGAACATATAATACTTGTCCATGTTTAATTCTTATAATATATATAATTTATGAACCTATAATTGTTTGTTAGTAATGTATTTTAAAAATATATATATATAAAAGAGAAAAAAAAATATGTATTTATATATATATAATTTATGAACCTATAATTATTTGCTAATAATGTATTTTTAAAATATATACATCTATATAAAAGAAAAAAAAACATGTATTTATATATATATAATTTATGAACATATAATACTCGTCTATGTTCGATCTATATAATATATATAATTTATGAACCTATAATTGTTTGTTAGTAAGATATTTTTTAAAAAATATATATATATAAAAGGAAGAACATGTATTTATATATATAATTTATGAACATATAATACTTGTCTATGTTTAATCTTAATATATATAATTTATGAACTTATAATTGTTGGTTAGTAATGTATTTTTTAAAAATATATATATATATATATATTAAACGAAAAAAACATAAAAAAATATATATATATATTAAAGAAAAAAAACATGTATTTGTATATATATAATTTGACTTATAATTGTTGGTTAGTAATGTATTTTAAAAAAATATATATATATATATATATATATATATATATTAAAGGAAAAAAAAAACACAAAACATGTATTTGTATATATATAATTTATGAACCTAGATATTTTTAAAAATATATGGTTGGTAAGGTATTTTTAAAAATATATATATAAAAGAAAACAACAGGTATTTTTAAAAATATATATATAAAAGAAAACAACAAAACGTATTAGCCTGGATTCGAACTCAAGCGCGAGTCTTTTTTGACTGGATAAATTATTTTATATATTTTATATATTTAAATTCGGCTCGAGCCAACCCGGGAGTTTTACCCACGAACCCGAAACCGAACCGATTCAGTTCGGGTTCAGAAAAATGACCCCAACCCTACCCGAAATGCTAATCCAACCCAACCCAACCCTCGGTTGGGTTGATCCGGGTTGTTGGGTTGAATATACACCCCTAGTTTCAGCCTCTGAATCGGCCCACAGAGTGAACGCGGGCTCTATGCATTTCGGCCCAACACGGACGCGCGCTGTAGCCTTGGTCTCGGCTCTGCACGCGTGCTCTCGGCTCGGCTAGACGTGTATGGCGGCTCAGCTCCGTCAAATCCCGCAACTCGACTTGGCGGCTTAGTTGGTCGGCTCGGCAGCTCGGCTTGGTGACTCGGTATCACTATAATATATCGATTCCAAGGTTTTCGACCCTTCCGAAGCCGTTTCTGCCCTTAGTTTTACCATCAGAGGTCAGTATAGTTCCTAAAAGTTAAAGACAGATTAGATCGGGGGGTTTATTTTGATAAATAGCATGGTTTAGCCAGGGTATGTCATGAAAGGTTCCTAAGTTTTTATGTGGTTATCATAGGACATATTCAACCGCTGGGATTAGCTCGTTGTGAGTGACTTCAACCGAGACCATCGAGGTAAGTAACCTTACTGTTGGCGTTAGTTATGTATGTATGTTGGTGCGTGCCCTGTGGCCCTTGCATGCACCATGTGTATGCACCATGTGTGTTGTTGATGTATGCTAGGTTAGATGTTTCTTGCAATGAAACGCTATGTATGCCATGTTTATGTATGTGAGTCTTGAGTGAAATGCTTTGTATGCCATGTTTATGTATATGATGTTTGTGACACAGCTTGTTACCCTGTATGTATGAGCTTGATTGACATGTCATGATTGTCAGAACCCCGCATGCCATGAATGAGATGATTAGTATGCTATGATATGCTTGCTCGATGTTGACCCAGTTATGCTATGTAATGCGGCGAGGGGATGGAACGTTGTATGTATAATGTCATGGTGGTAAAGCCTAAGAACCTCATGAACGCTATGGTTATGTACCTGGGGCACTCCCCCGTTATGCTACTGATGGTATGAACGCATATATTCGATAATTGTGTTCGCCACAATATCATGCAGGCCCACCTTTGTCCGTGGCGTCCAGTATTGTATGTCATACATACCCGACCAAGCCAAGCCCAGGGAGTTCACTTGCGAGCTCGCCTGGTAGGCCCACAGTCACACTCGTGGGCCATGTGTGGGAAAGTACCATGCATCCACCCCCGCCCGAACAAAGCAAGGGCCTAAGGCCATGGGAAGGAATGGAAGACAGACCCCTCTCTCAGTTTTCTTTATTTTGACACTTGTGCTTATGTATGTGTATTGATGCGATCGTGTGTATCCTAATGTATGATTATATGCTTAACTCCAACAGTGGGGCGACTTACTGGGTATTTCATATAATACTCAAGCCACGTGCTACCCATATTTTCAGGTAAGTGCAAGGCCCCCATGTACGGCTGACGGTGGATGCTGCGAAGGCCATGGAAGTCTTAAGGAGGGTTTGTAGTGTTGTAGACGTCTTGTTGGATTCTCTCGGTTATTAGTTATTGCAATTGTCCCTCTAGTTATCCATTGTTTATTTCTAGGTTAGGTTGTCGTTATTGTTTTCCCCAGGCATGAGCTGCTTATAATAATGAACGTATTGTCAGTTTTGAGGCTGTCTTATATAAACTATCGCACTTTCGTTATTTGATTACAAGGTAACTCGCTATTTAGGATAGAGAAAATTAGGGGCGTTACCTGAGACTACCCATCACAACCGGGGGGACGCAGCCGCATCAGAAGAAAGCAAGTATTTTCGAGCTTTCAAACGTCGGGACCCCAAAGTATTCGAGGGAAAATCCAAGGACCCTGTCGTAGCTGAATTATGGTTGTTGGCTATTGATGAAATTTTTTGACGCATGAAGTGTCCAGAGGAGTTGCATGACCTACCTGTTACGCGAAGATGCTAAACTGTGGTGGCAATTAGCCTCCTGGGCGATTGCTGTAGACGAAGATGACATCACCTGGACGCAGTTTAGAGTAGCATTCCTCCGAAAATACTTCAAACCAGTTGTGCGATATAAGAAGCAACGTGAATTCCTAAGCATAGAGCAGGGAAACAGGCCAGTAGAGGAGTATGAACGAGAGTTCACCCGTCTGTCCCATTTCGCCCCAATAATGGTCTCAACAGAAGAGCTGAAATTAGAATGTTTTGTTATGGATTTGCAGACCGATGTTCGAGGAGCGGTGTCAGCTCACCTTCCACCTGACTATGCAACAGCACTCCAACTTGCCGAGACGCTCGATGATAGGAAATATCCGACAGAAGACACCCAAATCCACTTAAACACGTCGGTTGACCAGAAGAGAAAGAGAGAACAGACGTCACCTACCTCCTCAAAGGTACCTTGGCACCAGACCAAGACAAATTTAAACCAAGAGCGCAGGCAACCAAAGGCTCGCCCACAAAATACGCCACATGACAGACCACGTTGCACGAACTGTGGGAGACGTCACCCAGGATAGTGCAGGTTTAAGAATAAGGTATGTTTCAACTGTCACCAAGAAGGCCACGTTGTCGCGCATTGCACCCAAGAGAGAGCAACTAGTACCAATAAACCCTCTGGTAACCAACCAACCTCAAACCCGAGGCCAGCTCCGCAACAGGGGCAAATGTATGCTACCACTCGCCAGGAGGCAGAAAACACCAACATTGTAGTCACAGGTACGCTCTCTATTCTTGGGTACTACGCATGGGTCTTATTTGATTCTGGGTCAACCCACTCTTTTATCTTCTTTAACCTTGTAAAACACGTAGGAGTAGAAGTTGAACCGCTAGGGTACGGGCTGTCTGTGAGTACCCCGACAGGGGTAAGTATGGAAGCCTTCGAGAGGGTAAAGGATTGTCAGTTGAGTGTGTCAAACAACACGATGGATGTGACACTGATAGTCTTAAATATGGCCAATTTTGACATCATCTTAGGGATGGAGTGGTTAGCTAAAAACCATGCATCCATTGATTGTTTCAACAAGGAGGTTGTGTTTAGACCCCCTGGTCAGCTAAGCTTCAAATTCAAGGGGATCAGGGTGGGAATGGTCTCGAGGATAGTCTCAGCATTAAAGGTAAGGAAGGTGCTTGGGGGATATTACCTCATGTGGTGGAATTAGGGCGAACCGAGGCGAGCATTAACTCAAGTGAGAGAATTCGTCAACGTGTTCCCAGAAGATCTCCCAAGCCTAACCCCGGAGCGTGAGGTGGAATTCGAAATTGTACTTGAACTAGGAACAACCCCTATATCAAGAGCCCCGTACAGAATGACCCCTGCTGAACTGAAAGAACTAAAGTTGCAGCTTCAAGAGCTACTAAACAAAGGCTTTATACGACCAAGTGTGTCTCCTTGGGGAGTCTCAGTGATATTTGTGAAGAAGAAGGATGGTTCTATGCACTTATGCATGGATTATCGAGAACTTAACAAAGTGATAATTAAAAACAAGTATCCTTTACCCGGATCGACGACATGTTCGATCAGTTGCAAGATGCAGTTGTGTTCTCAAAGATTGACTTACGGTCAGGCTACCATCAGTTGAGGATTAAGGAGAGTGATATCTCAAAGACAGCCTTTCGCACAAGGTATGGACATTACGAGTGTAGGGTAATGTCGTTTGTCTTGACTAACGCTCCAGCAGCATTTATGGGGTTGATGAACAAAGTGTTCAGAGAATTCTTAGACAACTTCGTGATCGTCTTCATCGATGATATCCTTGTGTATTCCAAGACTAGGGAACAACATGAGGAACATCTCAGGAAGGTGTTGACCACTCTGAGAATGAACAAGTTGTTTGCAAAGTTCTCCAAATGTGAATTTTGGGCAGAACAGGTGGGATTTCTTGGGCATGTAGTTTCACGAATGGGAATCATCGTATACCCAACAAAGATTGAAGTGGTGACAAATTGGCCTCGCTCGACCATAGTGACTGAGGCACGAAGTTTTCTTGGTCTAGCAGGGTATTATCAGCAGTTTGTGCAGGATTTCTCCAAGATCGCCACCCCCTCACTGAGTTGACCAAGAAAGGAAAGTCGTTCACCTGGAATGATTAGTGCGAGGATAGTTTCCAAGAACTTAAACAGAGGTTAATAACAGCCCCGATACTTACTGTGCCGTTAGGAGATGGAGGCTTTGTAGTATACAGTGATGCTTCAAAAAGGGGGTTAGGGTGTGTCCTCATGCAACATGGGAAGGTTATCGCCTATGCTTTGCGTCAACTAAAAGAATACGAGCGAAACTATTTCACCCACGACCTAGAACTCGCAGCAGTGGTATTTGCACTAAAGATTTAGAGACACTACCTTTATGGAGAAAGGACCCAAATTTTCACTGACCACGAGAGTCTTAAATACTTTTTTACTCAGAAGGAGTTAAACATGAGACAACGCAGGTGGTTGGAGTTGGTTAAAGACTATGACGTGGAGATACTCTATCACCTGGGAAATGCGAATGTAGTAGTTGATGCGTTGAGCGGAAAATCAGCACACACGTCTACTCTAATCACCACACAAAAAGCGATCTAGTAGGATTTGGAACGCACCAGTGTAGCGTTGGCCGTAGGGGAGGTCGCAGCTCAATTGGCCCAGTTAACGATACAACCGACCTTGAGGCAACGTCTCATTGATAAACAACATGGTGATCCAGATTTGGTTGGAAAAAAATGTTTGATAAATGTCAATCAGACAGAGGAGTTTTCATTGACAGCCGATGGGGGGCTCTTGTACCATGGGCGATTGTCTGTGCCAAATGATGAAGAACTGAAGGCAGAAATCCTAACTGAGGCTCACCACTCGCCATTCGCCCTACATCCTGACAGTACGAAGATGTATCAGGATTTGAAACGACATTATTGGTGGCAGAATATGAAACGTGATGTGGCCGAGTTTGTGAGAAGTGTCTGGTTTGTCAACAAGTCAAAGCCCCAAGGCAGAAGCCGGCGGGACTATTACAACCACTTAGCGTACCTGAAGGGAAGTGGGAGAACATCACCATGAACTTTATCGTGGGATTACTGAGGATGGCCAGAGGCTACACAGTTATATGGGTTGTGGTTGATAGGCTCACAAAGTCAGCTCACTTCCTACCAGGGAAGTCCACTTATTCCGTGGATAAATGGGCTCAGTTGTACATAAAGGAAGCAACAAGATTGTACGGGGTACCGGTATCCATTGTGTCAGAGAGGGATCCCCATTTCACATCAAAGTTTTGGAAAAGCTTTCAAAAAGCGTTGGGTATGGCACCTTTTGAGGCCTTATACGGGAAAAAGTGTCGATCCCAATGTGTTGGGATGAAATGGGAGAACGCAAGTTGTTGGGTCCTGACTTAGTGCAAGCAACTAATGAGACTATCGAGAAAATAAGGACTAGAATGCGTACGACCCAAAGCAGGCAAAAGAGTTATGCCGATGTAAGACGAAGGGATTTGGAGTTTGAGGTGGGAGACAAAGTATTCCTTAAGGTGGCTCCCATGAAAGGCGTTCTTAGGTTCGGTCGCAAAGGAAAGTTAAGCTCACGCTTCATTGGACCATTTGAGATCTTGGAGCGAGTGGGACAAGTAGCTTACCGGTTGGCCCTACCACCTGTACTCTCAAGAGTCCACAATGTGTTCCATGTATCGATGTTGCGAATATACATATCTAACCCATCGCATGTGATAGATTTCAAACCTCTACGGTTGGATAAGGGTTTGAACTATGAGGAAGAATCGGTGCAAATTGTGAATAGAGAAGTGAAAACCCTATGTAATCAAGAGATTGCGTTGGTCAAGGTATTATGGCGGAATCACCAGCTTGAAGAAGCCACTTGGGAACGAGAAGAGGAAATGATGAGCAAGTACCTTGAGCTCTTCAAAGCAGAGAGTAAGTAGCGCAAGCCTTGTATATTTAAGTGAAGCTTTCGAGGACGAAAGTTTCTTTTTGGGGGGAATATTAAGCCCTAGGGTTCAGCATGTGAGCCAAACCCTTAGCCAGCCACTGCCCGCCGCCTTCCTTCTTTCTGCCACCGCCCCGCCCTTCCTTCTCTCTTTTTCACTTTTCTTCCTTAAGCTGCTGCCACCCAACGCTCACAGTCCCGCAACCAACTGTTTCCCACACCACTCCGCGCCCCTTCCCACATCAGAAAACCTTCGCCCAGCACCCACATCGCCGCCGCAAGGAAACATCATCGTCGTTGCTAGAACTGACAATAAGAGGATTAAACGCAGCAAAGATTGAACGCCTACGTAGGAAGAAGGCTCAGTTTTTTTTATTGCTGTGTGTAATCTGATTCTGATTGCTGTATAATCTGATTCTGATTGCTGTGTGTAATCTGATTTTTGTGTGCAATCTGATTTCTGTGTGTAATCTAATCGCTATCGCCCGCCGCCCTTCCTTCTTTCTGCCGCCACCCCGCCCTTCCTTCTCTCCTTTTCACTTTTTTTCCTTAAGCTGCTGCCACCTAATGCTCACAGTCCCACAGCCGACTGTTTCCTACACCACTCCGCGCCCCTTCCCACATTAGAAAACCCCCGTCCAGCACCCACATCACCACTGCGAGGGAATTGTTGGGTTTTATGTCCTAAAACTCATAGTTTGTAAACAAAAACATATTCTATTTTCAATAAAGTTATTATTGTGCGCAAAGAGGA